AATAAGTCTGTTGCTCGCTCCATTGTTTCGGAGAATGGAGTCTTGGTCATCTTGCCCATGAGGCATGGTTCATAAGCATCAAGTGACTCATAATCAAGTGATTCCAAAAGTCCATCAGCATGGAGTTTTTTCATGTGCTTTACACCAATATGACCTAAACGGCAGTGCCATAAATAAGTTGCACTGTCATTATTAAACTTATATCTTTTGGGTTCAATACTATGAATATGTGTATCACTACTGTCAAGATTTAGTAAAAATAGACCACGCATCAAGGGTGCATGACCATAAAAGATATTACTCATATAAATAGTACAACCATTATTCTCTGATTTAAATGAATAACCGCCTCGCATCAAACAAGATCCAGATATAATGTTCATGGTTAACGCTGGCACCAAATAACAATTATTTAGGTCTAAAACTAATTCTGAAGGTATATGTAGAGGTAGTGTGCCGACGGCGATCACATCGACTTTGGAACCATTTCCCACGCGCATCGTCACCTCGTCCTTAGCCAATCTGTGCTTAATCCATAGCCCCTGTTTCGAGTTGCAAATATTAGCAACAGAACCAGTATCAAATACCCAGGCTCTACTGTGAGCATTAGTAAGGTACATATCAATAACATGTATATCAAATTTACCTTTCACTTTGCCATCCTTCTTATCCGCCAAATACTTGGGGCAGTTCCGCTTCCAGTGACCAGTCCCTTTGCAGTAGAAGCACTCAGTCTCAGGCTTAGGTCCAGACTTGGGCTTCTTCACTTGAGCAGCAACTTGCTTGCTATTCTTCTTGAAGTACCCCTTCTTCCCTTTGCCCTTCTTCTTGAAACCGGTGGTCTTGTTGACCATCAACACTTGATGCTCCTTCTTGATTTCTACCTCCGCGGCCTTTAGCATTGCGAAGAGCTCGGGAATTGTCTTATCCATCCCTTGCATATTATAGTTCATCAAGAAGCTCTTGTAGCTTGGTGGGAGTGATTGAAGAACTTTGTCAATGACACTATCATTAGGAAGATTAACTCCCAGCTGAGTCAAGTGGTTGTGGTACCCAGACATTCTGAGTATATGTTCACTGACGGAACTATTCTCCTCCATTTTGCAGCTGTAGAACTTATTGGAGACTTCATATCTCTCAATCTGGGCATTTGCTTGAAATATTAACTTCAACTCCTAGAACATCTCATATGCTCCATGATGTTCAAAACATCGTTGAATTCCCGGTTCTAAGCCGTAAAGCATGGCACACTGAACTATCGAGTAGTCATCAGCTTTGCTTTGTCAGACGTTCTTAACGTCTTCATCAGCATCTGCAGCAGGTTTGTCACCTAGCGGTGCTTTCAGGACGTAATTCTTTTGTGCAGCAATGAGGATAATCCTCAAGTTACGGACCCAGTCCGTGTAGTTGCTACCATCATCTTTCAACTTAACTTTCTCTAGGAACACATTAAAATTCAACGGGACAACAGCGCGGGCCATTTATCTACAACAACATAGACATGCAAAATACTATCAGATACTAAGTTCATGATAAATTAAAGTTCAATTAATCATATTATTTAACAACTCCCACTTAGATAGACATCACTCTAATCATCTAAGTGATCACGTGATCTATATCAACTAAACCATGTCCGATCATCACGTGAGATGTAGTAGTTTTCAATGGTGAACATCACTATGTTGATCATATCTACTGTATGATTCACGCTCGACCTTTCGGTCTCAGTGTTCCGAGGCCATATATGCATATGCTAGGCTCGTCAAGTTTAACCCGAGTATTCTGCTTGTGCAAAACTGGCTTGCACCTGTTGTATGTGAACGTAGAGCTTATCACACCCGATCATCACGTGGTGTCTCGGCACGACGAATTGTAGCAACGGTGCATACTCAGGGAGAACACTTATACCTTGAAATTTAGTGAGAGATCATCTTATAATGCTACCGCCGAACTAAGCAAAATAAGATGCATAAAGGATAAACATCACATGCAATCAAATATAAGTGATATGATATGGCTATCATCATCTTGTGCCTTTGATCTTCATCTCCAAAGCACCGTCATGATCACCATTATCACCGGCTTGACACCTTGATCTCCATTGTAGCATCGTTGTCGTCTCGCCAACTATTGCTTCTACGACTATCGCTACCGCTTAGTGATAAAGTAAAGTAATTACATGGCGGTTGCATTTCATACAATAAAGCGACAACCATATGGCTCCTGTCAGTTGACGATAATTGTGTTACAAAACATGATCATCTCATACAACAATTTATATAATCATGTCTTGACCATATCACATCACAACATGCCATGCAAAAATAAGTTAGACGTCCTCTACTTTGTTGTTGCAAGTTTTACGTGGCTACTACGGGCTTAGCAAGAACCGTTCTTACCTACACATCAAAAACCACAATGCGGTATGGTGATTACTTTTTGATCTTCAGAAAGAACCCTGTTCATTGGATCCGATTCAACTAAAGTTGGAGAAATAGACACCCACTAGCCACCTGTGTGTGAAGCACGTCGGTAGAACCAGTCTCGCATAAGCGTACGCGTAATGTCGGTCTGAGACGCTTCATCCAACAATACCGCTGAATCAAGAATCAACTAGTGATGGCAAGCAATATGTATATACCCACGCCCACAACTCCTTTGTGTTCTACTCGTGCATATAACATCTACGCATAGACCTGGCTCGGATGCCACTGTTGGGGAACGCGGTAATTTCAAAAAAAATCCTACGCACACGCAAGATCCATCTAGGTGATGTATAGCAACAAGAGGGGAAGAGTATGTCTACGTACCCTCGTAGACTGAAAACGGAAGCATTATGACAACGCGGTTGATGTAGTCATACATCTTCACGATCCGACCGATCTCAGCACCAAATGTGCGGCACCTCCGTGTTCAACACAAGTTCATCTCGATGACGTCCCTCGTACTCTTGATCCAGTTGAGGCCGAGGGAGAGTTTTGTCAGCACGACGGCGTGATGACGGTGATGATGAAGTTACCGGTGCAGGGCTTCGCCTAAGCACTACGACGATATGACCGAGGTGGAATATGGTGGAGGGGGGCACCGCACACGGCAAAGACAACTGTCAACTTGTGTGTTCTAGGGTGCCCCTACCCCCGTATATAAAGGAGCAAGGGGGAGGCCGGCCGGCCCTATAGGGGCGCGCCCCAAGTAGGATTCCTACTAGGAATAGGAATCCTATTCCTAGTAGGTTTTCAACAAGGAAGAGAGGGGGAAGGAAGGAGAGGGAGAGGGGGAGAAGGAAAGGCGGGCGCCGCCCCCTCCCCCTTCCCGAGTCCAATTCAGACCCAACGGGGAGGGGGCGCGCGGCCTGCCCTAGCCGCCCCTCTCTCTCTCCACTAAGGCCCATGAGGCCCATTAGTTCCCCCGGGGGGTTCCGGTAACCCTCCGGCGCTCTAGTTTTATCTGAAACTTCTCTGGAACATTTTTGGTGTCCGAATATAGTCGTCCAATATATCAATCTTTATGTCTCGACCATTTCGAGACTCCTCGTCATGTCCGTGATCACATCCGGGACTCCGAACTACCTTCGGTACATCAAAACACATAAACTCATAATACCGATCGTCATCGAACGTTAAGCGTGCGGACCCTACGGGTTCGAGAACTATGTAGACATGACCGAGACACATCTCTGGTCAATAACCAATAGCGGAACCTGGATGCTTATATTGGCTCCTACATATTCTACGAAGATCTTTATCGGTCAAAGCGCATAACAACATACGTTGTTCCCTTTGTCATTGCTATGTTACTTGCCCGAGATTCGATCATCGGTATCTCAATACCTAGTTCAATCTCGTTACCGGCAAGTCTCTTTACTCATTCCGTAATCCAACATCCCGCAACTAACTCATTAGTTACATTGCTTGCAAGGCTTATAGTGATGTGCATTACCGAGAGGGCCCAGAGATACCTCTCCGACAATCGGAGTGACAAATCCTAATCTTGATCTATGCCAACTCAACAAACACCATCGGAGACACCTGTAGAGCATCTTTATAGTCACCCAGTTACGTTGTGACGTTTGATAGCACACTAAGTGTTCCTCCGGTATTTGGGAGTTGCGTAATCTCATAGTCATAGGAACATGTATAAGTCATGAAGAAAGCAATAGCAATAAACTAAACGATCATAGTGCTTAGCTAACGGATGGGTCAAGTCAATCACATCATTATCTAATGATGTGACCCCGTTAATCAAATGACAACTCATGTCTATGGTTAGGAAACTTAACCATCTTTGATTAACAAGCTAGTCAAGTAGAGACATATTAGTGACACCCAATTTGTCTATGTATTCACACATGTACTAAGTTTCTGGTTAATACAATTCTAGCATGAATAAAAAACATTTATCATGATATAAGGAAATATAAATAACAACTTTATTATTGCCTTTAGGGCATATTTATTCAGTTTGAGGTTTGTCGGAAAATTGAGCAACTCTGTAACAATAATTGTTACATATGTTTAAATAGCTAAAAACCTGGCAGGTCCCTTTATAAAGAAACTATCACGAAATGTGATAGATACTGCATCGAGGAGATGAGTATGAGACATATATGAACCCAACCATTTTATTGAAGATATTGTGAATTAGGACCTGGGAAGAACAAGCCGTCGGTTAATATAAGAGAGTAACCTATAACCCTCTCTAGGTGAAGATGCAAAACATTCAGAACTATAAGAGAACTGTAAGGCAGGATGACAAGAATGCCTTAATTTCTTTCTATTGACTATGTAGCAAAGAAGTTGTCGTACAGAGCAATTTTGAAAGAACACACTTATATAAGCCTTGATTTTTATACGGTGTTCTCTAGTAAGCTCACAAAGAGACCAGAGAGTACGGCAATGCATTGTTTTGTATATATGTGTTGGAATGGTCTTGTAAATGCTACTCTCTTATGGAAGAGCGAGTGTGTACAACTCGTCAGCTCGCCGAGTTGTATACACCTATTTTACATCTGGTATCTGGCTGCTGTTGAATTTGACGCGGGGTTTGCCCATGCTGAAGTTGAGCACTCTGGACCTCATGTTGTACTTGATCTCCCCGTCATAGAGCAGCTTGCGGATGTAGTGCTCAAGATCTGAGCCGATGAGACGAAGCGTGTACTCTGACAGTGGAGCTCCCTGCAGTGTAACAGCAGCAGAATTGTACCCAGGTCAGCCCGACACTCCCATCAACGCGGCATGACTATGCATAGCCAGCACTTCTCGCTACGATGCTAGAGAATTCTGCTGTATGAAGCTGGTTTCTAAATTTTTGGTAAATGTAGCAGAATCAGATGAACATGAAAACGTTCGGTTTTGCCACGTGGCTAGTACTCACTACTCCCTTCATTCCTAAATATAGTGCGTATTAGTTTTCTAGGGAAATTCCATATTGTAGTGCGTAGTTTGAGCTCAATCCAATTATGAACGAAATTAGCCCTCCACCAACCCATCAACGCAGAGCCTCCCTCCCTTGTTTATTTGTTCTGGTACACATCAGATGGGACATACCCAGATGACTGGAGGGTGCCGTAGTTTCTCTCTAATTTTCTATTCTACTGGCATGAAACCTCGAACAGAACGATTGGGGCTTTCTCGTCCAAAACTTATCGCCAGCACATGTATTGGTATGTGGGCGGTTATCTATGCGCATTACATTTAGGACGAGCAGTGTGCACGAATGGGATGGCCAGTTTACCTCGTAGTGGTCGACGAGGTTCTGGAACTCCTTGTAGACCATCTGGCATGTCTCGTCGGTCCAGACGAACTCCTCGGTGGGGTCGAGCATGAGCGTGAGCTTGTCCGTCTGCGTCTGGTCGAACGCGTTGGTCTCCGGGTCGATGTACGCGGCGTAGATGCGCACGTGCCGCGTCGTGCAGCTCAGCCACTGGCTGCCGTACTCCCGCCCCATGTTCTTGCTCTCCGCCCGCGGCTGCCGCGGGAGCGACTGCGCGGGGCCCTTCGCCGCCGCCGCCGCCGCCGTCGCCTGCTCCTCCTGCAGCGGGGGCACGGTCGCCGCGGGCTCCTCCTCTTTCACCTCCTGCTGGGCTCGCACCGGGGGGAACCGGACGCTACGTGGCGCAGTTTTGGCGCCTGGGCACCGGCTCTGGAGCGCGAACTTTGCCGCCGGGGAGAGGAACGACGAGGCCGCCGCGGTCGCCATGCTCTGGTGGCCTCCGTTTTTTGCTTGGCTGGGTAGTGATCTTCTGGTTCGCGATGGCTGGCTGTGTATTTGCCGCTGCTGTGCGCGGGAGCCACACGAAGGTCGCTGTGCCTCCGTGTGACTAGTGTGGATAAGGGTTATTTTCGCCACTCGCTGCTCGCCAGAGCTCTTTTTAGCCTAGCTGCCTGCCAGAGCTATACGTCGCCTACTGCGACCTGTTACAAAGCATCGCCTCAAGGAGTCTCCTTAGTGGGCCAGCACAGTCGTACGGTTTCACTTTCTTTCTTTGGTTTGTTTCGTTGTTTTTTCTGTGTTTATCACTAGTTTCTCTGGTTTTTTAGTTCATTTTAAAATTTCTTTTCCTTCTTATTTTTTTCAACACATGTAGTTTTTCCAGTACACATTGCCCCATTTTTCATACACGTGTGGAACATTTATTTGATACACATTGAAATTTCTCAAATACATAATGTACATTTTTAAGCACATTTTTTAAGCACATGTTTGGAACATTTTTCTTGAGTATGTGTTAAATATTTTTCAAATACATGTAAATATTTTTTAATGACACGATTTTTTTTCAACAACACGAATATTGTTTTCACATTGTATAAACATTTTTCCAAACTATCACAAACATATTTTTGAATGCATTATTTTTTTTAAATATCAGTTTTTAATGATACAAAACATTATTTTTAAACTATGCGAACATACTTTTTACATTGTATAAAGAGTTCCCAACAATGCGTGAATATTTAAAAAATGACATGTACATTTTTTTAATGCTATCAACATTTTTAAAAGTTATGCAAACACCATTTTATACATTTTGTGTTTAAATAAATTAATTCTTTAAACATATATTATAGTTTCATAAAAAAATTGAAATGTAAACAGAAATAAAAAAGGATAAGAAAAGAAATAACGAACCTAACACTACTTGGATTGGCCCATCGTACGCTAGCTTGAGGCGATGCTATGCTCCAGACCGCTGAAAGTGATATATAGGAGTGCCCCGCGCTGCTGGCCGAAAAGCAAATTGCTTCCAGGGGCCTTAGGGAGAGCAACTAACCAAACGGTTACACATTTGGGGGTCTCCCGTAAGGGTCAGTTGTTTTTTGGCCTGGGTGGGCGTCAAGTGATGTGTCCAGCCGCCGTAACATGTCGCATGCTGGGCGTTTTCTTTGAATTTATGTTTTTTATTTTTCTGCAGGCATTTTTCTGGTTTTAGATGGGTTTTTCCAAGATTTTTTGGCTTTTTGGCTTTCCCTAGGATTTGAAGATTTTTTGTTTTGCAAAGCACAACTGTGTTTCTTGGAAAAAAACTAAGCTCGAGAAGCGCAAGTATACTTCGTGTGGAGGCATAGATTTGCTTCCGTGAAAAGAACAATTGTGCTTGTCGAAAAAAAAATGTCCCACAAGAAGCATATAAAAAAATGTGCTTTCATGAGAAGGATTGCTTCCGCGAGAAGCAGAATTCGGAAGAAAAAATTGCTTTCTTGAGAAGCACATTTTTTGTTTCTCGTGGAAGAGAAGATTTGCTTTCGCGAGAAGCACACTCAAAAAGGGAAAAGCACAACATGTGCTTCTCTGAAAAAAAGGAAAAAACACAACCAGTGGTTTTAAAAAAGTGAAAAATCGCAACCATGCTTTCAGAAAAAAATCATTTATTTGGTATTCATTTTTTGCACGAACCATTTTTTTTGTTTTCGTTTTTTTTTGTTTCTAATTTTGTAATGAAAAATAAAAAGTTCATCGAAACATATTAACATGAAATCTAGATCTTCGACACGAGAAATCCAATGGTTCGGTATTTAGACGCACTGTTCAAGAGATAAAATATTTTTGATAAACAAATTTACAAAAAAAAGAGAAAACTACCCAGTTGCAACAAGTGGCGCACATGCATTGTGCCACTTGTCAATGCCTGGAAGGTGAGGAGTAGGGGGCTGCAAACATGTCGAGTACGAGCGAATTGGAGTGGGCTCAACTCAACTTATGCTACAATCCAAGCAAGCTCAACCGAGGGAAGCTCAAGATAGAGCGGTAGAAAATGATTGGTGCTCAGCTTGTACTTATCTTAAATTGATCTTGAGCTAAATAATATTATTATTTTAGGGTATTTAACATTTGTGTCCCTAACTCGATCCACTATTTAAATTTACCCCTAATTTTGAAGAATGCTTAAATTTACCACTCTGTTGTTAGGTGGCCTTACAAAAATGCCCTTCCGGACTGTTTTCGTCCGGTTCAAAGGCCGTTGACTGTTTTCAGAGAGTTAGCTGGACATTATGCCCCTGTCTCTATGTGTTACATACACGTCGGACCCACTTGAAAAAATAAAAGCAAAAGACTATTTCTCTCACCCCTCTGTTTGTATCACTTACATGTGGGCCAACCAAAAAAATAAAATGAAAAGTCTATTATCTCTCCCTCCTCTGTCTCTCTCGCCTCCAGCGTGCACAGAATCGACGGCAGCATGCGTCGGTTGCCCGTAGCAGGCTCGCCGGCATGGCAGCTCTGCGCTCACCATCGCTCCCTTGCGCTTGATTCGCGCTAGTTGGGCACACAGGCGGCCACCAGATCCAGTTCCCGGCAGAGTCAAGCGGCGGACGGCGATGGTTGTCACGGGAGCTCACCGAGGACCTCCTAAGCACAAAATTGACGAGCGCGAAGGAAGAGGGAGCTCGAGGAGGGGCTCTCAGTGCCAGGATTTGGAGAGGGTGTGCCGGAAGCGATGACATCAACCTCGGAAGGCCAGCGGCGCTCATCACCGGAGATGAGGAAGGGGAGGGAGAAGCACCAAATTGGCTGAGGGGAAATGTGTGAGAGCTCGATTGGATGCTAGTGGCCTCTATTTGCTGAGCCCTCGTGCCCTCTGACCCTCTCGCGCCGAGCGCCGCCTGTCGCCGCCTCTCGAGCTCACTGCTACCGGTCGTCCGGACCACCCCACGCCCTCCGTCCACCTTAGTCCACTTCTGCTACCTGCCGGGAACCTCGCACAGCTGCTCTGCAACCCCTAGCCAATCCAGCTCCATACCGTACATCGCCGCCGGCCTTCACGCACACGCCGGTGTTTAGTAGCCGTGGTTAAGACCTATAGCCTAACATATATACACTGTTAAGTGTGCCACTCACTCGTGGGCCTTCTACTAAAACAATTAAACCTATTAAGAGATAATGACATGTGCCCCCTGCTGACTGGTCTAACTTTGACTTAATTTTTCCATTTATTTTTTAGAGCGGGCCCCACACGTAGGTGATACAAACAAAGGTGTGAGAGAAATAATTTTTTTTCTTTTATTTTTAAAAGTGGGTCCCATGTGTAAGTGAGACAAGGGCAAAAATGTCCAGCTAGCGCTCAGAAAACGGTCAAAGCACTTTGATCGGACAGAAACTACACGGAAGGGCATTTCTGTAAGGCCACCTAACGGCAGAGGTGCAAATTTGAGCATGCTTCAAAATTAAGGAGAAATCTGAATAATGGGTTTGAATTAGGGACACAAATGTAAAATACCCTATTTTTTTAATCATCCAAGACAATTTTTCAACAAGTCATAACAAAACATAGTAAGAAACCACTATAAATATTATTCCAATCAAAATAATTATAATATAAAAAATAAGATGGTTTGACCTATTCTCTCTCCACTGAAGACTAGTATTTAATAGCAAGACTTTATGGATGAACTAGTATCAAGAGAAGAAAATTAATGTGTTGCTCAAACTTTAGCCAAAATAAACAAGATATTTAATTTAACACACGGCTGGCCATGTACCATGCCGGGACCTAAATTTTCTCCATGCTTAATCAAGTTTCCATATTTGATACTACATAAAAAAATCATATACAACATAAATGTAATAAATTGTCCAATTTCCTTTGAATATATATTAGGATTATTTAATCATGTTATTTCGAGCTAAAATCGAGCGAGCCACTATTGGCTTTGGCTCAAGATCAGCTCGTTTCTCCATTGAGCTACGTAAAGTGCTCATACTCAACTCATTTCTATTTAAGTGCATCTCGAATCGAGTTAAAAGACATGTCGATCTCAAACAGCTCACGAGCCTTGAGCTTTTCTTGTAGGCTCTAGTGAGGAGTGACCTTTGCAAGGGCTAGCCCTTAACCAGCGATTTCGGTGTTTGGGCGAGGAGAACGAGACATACATTGGGCCTTCCGGGCTTACAAACATATTGGGTTGTGTATAATATATAATTATTTACTGATCCTCAAAGAAATATTTATTTAGGTGGAGAATGTGTATAATTGGCAGGATGCGTATTAGGCACACGTAATCGTGTCACGCAGAAATTTGGCTAATAGTTCGTCCCGGACTAGTTCATCCAAACACTTTTCTTTCTTCCTCCAAAGGTGATCTCGCCTTCACCGCCGGCCTTCGGCGGCTCCCCTCCGTCGATGTTTTCGGTCGCCGGTGGTTAGAGGGTCGTCGGATCCACGTGTATGGGTCGTTTTTAGGCTCTCGTAGTTTAGGTTTTTAGCCTGTCCATCGTCTTTGCTTCGGCGGCAATGATGGTGGTGCTGAATAAAGTTTTTTTAAATCCTACTCTGACGAGGCGATCGATCCTATGGTTGGGGATGGATTTGGAAATCAGTCTGTTCAAGCAAGGATGGTGTGGCGGCAACGGCATCCTGGACATGTGTCCTCGGGCTCCGCTGTTGCGACGGCATTTGCTCCAGCGCCGGTGCGGAGCTTGTGAGGTAGTCTAGGAGCGGAGGCAGACTATGGTCTGCATCGCCGGTATCTGGAAGATAGTGGATCGTATGTTGGGTTCGTGGTTCATGGATGACAGGTATCGTGTTCTTATCGAACGTCTTAATCATTTGGGGTGCCTGATCTAGAGTTTGATAGCGTGTCTAGGGTGTTTTCCCAGTCGGATTCGTTCAATGGTAATGGTTTCGCTTGGCGAACCACCTTGGATGTCAGCAAAGCTGCATATCAGTGATGGAACTATGTCGAGCTCGAGTATGGAGG